AGGGAGAGTGAGCCTGCCAGTGACAGCAGTGACTGGCATTTCTTAAGTCCTTTGAATTTGGAATGTGTACAATTTATCTTTCTTTGAATAAACAGACACACAAAGGCTAGTCATTTTTATGTTAAGAAGTGTAGGGCAGGGAGTGCACTTTGGTTATTAAACTTTACTTGTGTAGACAGGTGGGTGTTTACCACCCCCCCCCCCCCCCCCGAGCGCTCTTACTATCAGAGAAGAGGGTGATTGTGGCATTTCTGGCGCAGGAGGGAAGGCAGCAGCTGGGGAGGGACTGGGTCAGTGGTGCCCAGGCAGTCCTCTATTTCGAATTCAGTCACAGAGTTCCAGTTTTCCCAGGACAAGGCAGCACAGAGCTCGGCTTTCTCTTTTCTCAGATATCTGAATGCAGGGCTTGTCCAGCGAGTAGATTAGAAAAAGATATGGAACTTGTTCCCCATGCTTTAAAGCAGGGAAAAAGCCTTGTTGTGAAGAGAAGAAACAAAACCTGTTTGGTGACTTGTCATTTCAATGAAAACACAAACCTTTCACAGCTGAGCATTCCCCATGCTCCTCCCCTTCCTCCTGCCACCCAGGAGCTGAGGGGGGCAGGAGGAAAAACAGAAAACAAGCCCTGCTCCTTCAGAGAACACAAGGATTTGGTGCAAACATTTAAGAGCCCAAGGGAGCAGTTTACTAAGCTTGTCTTGTCAGGGGGATAAAATACACTCAGAGATGCCTTTTATGTTTTCTTGTCTGACCACTGTGGCTAGGACTTCCGTTCTATGTTGAATAAAAGTGGTGAACCCTGTCTTGTTCCTGTTCTTAGGGAAAATCATTTTAGTTTTTGCCCATTGATGGGCAAATTTATGGACCCCCCCTACTCCCGCCCATATAATGTTGGCTTAGGTTTGTCATATATGGCCTTTATTATGTTGAGGTATGATTCCTCGATTCCAGGGATGGGGAACATCCGGCCTGCAGGCAGTAGAAGGCCCAAGAAGTCATTTGGTCTGGCCCTGCCAAGGCATTGGGGGTGAGTTAATGAAATGTTTGACCAAATATAGCAAGCTGACTTTTAAGTTGATAATTTTGTATGGCCCGTGAATTATGTTATAAATAGCCAAATGGCCCTTGGCAGAGAAAAGTTTCCCCACCCCCAAGTCTATTCCCACTCTGCTGAGAGTTTTTATCAAAAATTGGTATTTGATTTTGTCGAATGCTTTTCCTGAATCTACTGATATGATCATGTGATTTTCCAAATTGGAAAGACGGATGTAAAATTGTGATTATTCACAGATGATATGATATTGTACATAGAAAACTCTAAAGATTCCACACAAAAAACTACTAAACTACTAGATTTAATAAATGAATTTGGCAATGTAGCAGGATACAAATTAACACCCAGAAATCGGTGGCATTTTTATACACCAATAATAAACTCTCAGAAAGAGAAACTAAAAAAAACAATCCCATTTACCACTGTAACAAAAACAATTAAGATACTTAGGAATAAACTTAACCAAGGAGGTAAAAGACCTGTATTCTGAAAACTACAGGACGTTGAAAAAGAAGATAGAAGAAGACATAAACAAGTGGAAGAATATACCATGTTTATGGATCGGTAGAATTTACATCATTAAAATGTCCATACTACCCAAGGCAATCTATAGATTCAATGCAATCCCTATCAAAATACCAACAGCATATTTCACAGATCTAGAACAAATACTCCAAAAATGTATATGGAACTAAATAGCCACAGCAATCTTGAGAAAGAACAACAAAGTTGTAGGGATCACAATACCAGATATCAAGTTATACTACAAAGACACTGTAATCAAAACAGCCTGATAATGGCACAAGAACAGGCATATACACCAATGGAACAGAACTGAGAACCCAAAAATTGACCCAAACCCTTATGCTCAATTAATATTTGACAAAGGAGGGAAGAGCATGCAATGGAGTAAAAACAATCTCTTCAATAATTGGTGTTGGAAAAATTGGACAGATACATGCAAAAAAGTGAAAACAGACCACCAACTTACACCATACACAAGAATAAACTCAAAATGGATAAAAGACTTAAATGTAAGCAATAAAGCCATAAAAATCCTAAAAGAAAACATAGGCGGCAAAATCTCAGAATTTTCATCAATATATCAAATAGCAGAATTTTCATCACTATATTGCGTAGGGCAAGAGAAACAAGGAAAAAAATAAACAAATGGGACTACATCAAAATAAAAAGCTTCTGCACAGCAAAAGAAACCAGCATCGAAATGAAAAGAGAACCCACTGCATGGGAGAACATATTTGCCAATGATATATCTGATAAGGGGTTAATTTCCAAAATATGTAACGTGCTTATACAACTCAACAAAAGGAAGCCAAACAACCCAATTTAAAAATGGGCAGAAGACCTGAATAGACACTGCTCTAAAGGGGACATACAAATGGCCAGGAAACATGAAAAAATGCTCAAGGTCACTGATCATCAGAGAGATGCAAATTAAAATCATAATGAGGTATAACCTCACACCAGCCAGAATAGCTACCATTAATAAATCAATAAACAAGTGCTGGCGAGGAGAAAAAGGAACTGTGGTACTCTGCTGGTGGGAATGCAGACTGGTACAACCACTATGGACAACAGTGTGATTTCCTCAAAAAAATTAAAAATGGAACTTCCATTTGATCCAGTGATCTCACTTCTAGGAATATATCCTAAGAAGCCAAAAATGCCAATCAGGAAGAATATATGCACCCCTATGTTTATAGCAACGTTATTTTCAATAGCTAAGATCTGTAAACAGCCCAAGTGCCCATCAGTAGGTGAATGGATTAAAGAACTGTGGTGCATTTACACTATAGAATATTATGCAGCAGTAAAAAAGGATTTATTTTTTAAAAATATTTTTATTGGTTTCAGAGAGGAAGGGAGAAGAAGAGAGAGATAGAAACATCAATGATGATGGAATCATTGACTGTCTGCCTTCTGCATGCCCCCTACTGGGAACTGAGCCCACAATGATCGGAATGGAACCAGGGACCCTTCAGTCTGCAGGCTGATGCTCTATCCACTAAGCCAAAGCAGCTAGGGCAAAAAGAAGGATTTCTTAGTCTTTGAAACAGCATGGAAGGACCTGGAGAGTATTACGCTAAGTGAAATAAGCCAGTCAGAGAAAGACAAGTATCATATGATCCTGTTCATTAGGTTCCATCTAATGCACAAAATAAACTGACAAACAAAAAAGATCCAGAGACATTGAAGCATGAAACAGACTGACGATTCTCAGAGGGAAGGGGGTGGGGGGAGAGAAGAGACTAACCAATGACCTTATATGCATAGCCCGTGGACAGACAATAGTCGGGGAAGGCCTGGGAGGGAGCAGGAGCAGGGTAGAGAGGGGCAATGGAGCGGGGGGGTGGTGGGGGGGTTTGGGGGGGTGGGGGAGGAAGGGGACATCTGTAAACTTTCAACAATAAAGATAAATTAAAAATAAAAAAAATAAAACCAAAACAGTGCCTCATTCTGCCACTTCCTTTAGGGAAATGGCATAGCAGTTACTGGTTCCTTGATAACAATAAATTGTTTTCATATTTATCTTAATGCTCTCTTCATTACTCTTGAATAAACATAAAGAACTGATTTCTTAGATCCTCTGTACAAATACACCACCATTAAATCCTCTGAAAGGTCAAATTTCACATAACTAGAGATGTGGGAATTTAATAAAGAGAATACATTTCTGATTTTTTATAAATAAAAAGGTCAATCTTAAGGGCTCCATAAGGCCTTGTTTATCAGCTACATGAAGCTCTTCACGAACGCTCATTTCAAGTGGGGAGCCCACAAGGGGAGCTCACCTCCCATCAGGGATTCTGAGGGAAGAAGCCTATATTGTCAAAGTCAGGACAAGGAGCCAGCACACAGCTCGGGTGGGGCCCCAAAAGGAGAATGTGGGCTGGAGAGAACAGCACGAATCTACATTTCTGCTAGTTTTGTGAAAATAAGTATACACACCAAGAACCAAACATAGGAGAGGGAGGAGGAGGAGGGACTGAGCAGACCCTGTTACCCTGGCAACTGCAAAGTATTACAGTCTGCAGAGGAGACTCTAGTTGGGCCATTTACACATACCTTTTTAAAAGCCAAAGAATTTCCCCCCTCATTTTACGATAAAGAGTTTCATAAAAATGGAGACCGATTTACAAATATCACTTGAAAAAAAACTGGGCACTTAAGATTCATCTTTCCTTTTGGTTACAATTTTGCTTTGAATTATGGTCCTTAAAATTTCTTTGAAGGTGACCTTTTAAGAGTGTCCTATCATGTAGTATGGCAAGAAAACGAATGTCCTTCAGCAAATTAGTTGTTTTTGTTAACATGATACGTACACAGACATGTTACTTCATTGGCAACCATAATCTGAACCTCCAACAAAATATATGGCTTTAATTTCTAGGGTTTGAACACAAGACATGACCAGAGCAATAAGTAGAAGTAAGTACAAGAAATTATGAATAAATATAAGGAAAGAATATAACATTTAAAAGAAAATAATTGAAAATAAATATAAAATGCAAAACAAAAGTTTGTATATAAGATAAATCTAAATTTATTTTTCAAAATTATCATTATGAAAACAAATATACTACATATAGTCAAGTTCACCTTAATCAAATGACATCATAGGATAAGATAAAAATAAATCAGCCACATCAAGACTCTCTATTTTAAACACTGTGTATGGCATCTCACTTAGCAAAAAGATAATGTAGCCTTCAATAATCCTTTAGCCACATCCAATATAAACGAGTAAAATAAAAACTACGCTAATACCTAGTTAAATTAAGACCATCAAGAAACTGGCTGAGATACTAAATACTGTAATTCTAAGGAAAAAAAAATTACAATCATTTTCTGTAACTTACAAGGCAAATCAAACACTATGAAAAAAATGTCTTTCACATCACATTTGAATTTAAATAATACTCACCAGGAAAGAAACAGATTCTGTGACAGTGGCTGAGCCATAACAACAAAAGGGCGTGATATCTAAGTGTGGCCCTTCCCAGTCTATTTTTAGAGGTTAAAGACGCCAGCCTTGAATAGTTTGATAACAATGGTTGTGGTTACAACTCAGCATGTAAGACAGTTCGAGAGTAAACCAGCTCTTTTCATGCTGTCATCTAGTTCGCTGTCTTTTCCCTTTTAAATTAATCCTGAGACCTTGCCCACAGAACACAGGGGATCTGAAGAATCGTTTGTTTCCTCCTGTTTACTAGCTACCTTGGAACATGCAGAACTAAAATTAAGTCATAAATTAAAATTAGGTTAAAATCAGGTGATAAATTAAATCTTTGAAAATGTTCTTCATTAAAAAAGTTTTTAAAAACTATCTTGCTTACCTGCAACCTTACTCGGAATATTACTTTAATTGGGAACAGGACACACATTGCGGAGGAAAAAGCACTTGGGTTCAGCGAAGTATCCTGGAGATGTGTCCTTAAAGGCTTCCCTGTGGGGAAGTAACAATTCCTATGGCACCCATCCCAACGCTGAGTGTCTATCAAGAGTATAGGGTTCTAAGAAGTTTATATGTAAGTAATGATAAATGTATATGTGCCAACACAATTCCTATCTATGTATATGTTAACATGTTTCTATAAACATATTTTATACATGTATATACACAATAGACACTCATACACATATCCCCCAACCACACAGACCCTTCAGTGTATTGAGACTTGCTTTCTTGAAATTACCACTTTTTCCACACTCAACCTTTCTATTCCACTCCCATAACTCAAACTTATAGTACATCAGACTCTAAAGGTTTCATTTCAATTTTCAATAAAAAAAACCTAGGCAAACCAAATTATATCAAGAAACAAAATCATATTTAGGGCTAACATATTACCCTATACCCTTCAAAAAGAAAAAAACCAAAAATGTATTGTAAGACACTATGAAAATTTAACACTCAGTTTTAATATTTTCTTAGAAAAGGAGAGGAAGTCCCTAGCTTAGAGAATTGAGTATAAGAGATCTAAACTGGCCTTCATGTCCATTTGCTTGGGTTCAAAGGTTAGGTTAGAGACTCAAGAAAAGCAAATTGGACCCCTTCTCCTGAATCTACAAAATAGATGGCAGTTACAAATCATAGAAACCTATAGTTCTTCAAGGTTATTATCTGAGTTCTTAGAAAAAAGAAGCTCTGGTGCTGACCCTTGTTTACAGAAGGAAATCCCAGCTCAAAGGTGGAATGGGAGGGGCAGGCACCCAGCCCGGACTGCTGAGTCCTGGTACCCGTCATCGCTCGTCCGCAGCAGGGCACAGCTGTTGGGACTGTTGTGATTGCTCTTTACGACGCACAGTCATTTTAGGCCAAACAAACCTGGCCATGCACATCCTCCAGTCCCCTCTCATGCTCCATCACAAGTTCTCTTTCAGCAGGCCGAGCTTCCGCAGGGCCTCCCGGCGAGCTTCCTCAGTGGAGCCTCGACCAGCAAACTGGACGGTGATGCCTTGGGGTCTGAACCCCACGGCCCTGGGCAGCGAACCTGCTCGCTTCCTAGCATCCTGGCTGCAGTCCGGCTGCCGGTGCTCATACAAGCTCTTGCTGGCGTTCTGGCGTGCAAGTTTATTGGTAAGAGCCGGGTCTGGACGGAAAGTGACAGTCTTCCCAGTAGAGAAAAAGGGACCGGGCTCGCTCGTTAGGACATCATGGATGCTCTGGAAGCCATTCTCCAGGGGCGGGGTCTGCTCTGTCTGCACACCTCTGGACTGCTGACTGCTGGTCTGCCCTCCTGCCTGCGTGGACACAGCTTCCTGGACGGGGCCTGGCTTGCTCTGGCCACACGTCCCCTGCTCTGGAGAGACGCTTCTCCTCCGCTCAGCGAGATCACCCTTTTGGGCCCGATCTTCCGTGTCTCCCGTGGAGAAGAAAGAGACTCCATTAATGTTGGCCAGGACCCGGGCTTTCCGCTCCTGCACGTTGACCGCGGCCTTGGAGATGGTCTTGTTGAACTCCTTCCCGGCGCTGTTGGTCACACTGATGTTGCTCGGGAAGCGGTGGATCTTGGGCGCAGGCTGTGCCATATGTCTGTGCCACAACAAGTGGTCTCCATTGCGAGGGGCCACAGAAGGCAGTGTCCTCCATTCCCCAGGCCTGCCCTCCTTGGAGGGGGAGGTGGGAGAAAGTGCTTCATTTCCTGCCAACTTCTCAGAAATCTTCTGGGCGATAACAAGCGGAGTAGGGACTGAACGGGGCAGTTTGGGGTGCTCTGCAGGAGGAGGAGAAGAGAGCTGCTCTTTCCTGGGGTGGGCCGGCGCTGTGGGGACAGGCAGGGAGGGTGGCCGAGGAAGGACCTCTGGAACGGTGCACCCTGGCCGGGGAGAAGCCTCCACATCCTGTGCCCCGCATTCCAGGACAGGAATGTCTTCCTTTCCAGCAGGTCCAGCCCCTGAGAAGTAGGCAGAATCCTCATAAGTTTATGTAACTTTATGTAAAAATAAACACATTACATCTCCCCCTGAAACACAAAGGGTCTCAAAGGGATATAATACCAACTTCAACAGTACCTCCTGTAACCTGAACTTCTCTATCCCTGTCCCCTGGACTAACAAGAGAGAACAGAATACATGGTTCTCATAACCACAGGATGAGAAGAATGAACCAGTGATGGTGAAAGACTGCTAGGCAGAAATGGTCAGTACCTGGGAAGTATACCGTAAAAGCAAGCTCCTGAGGACCCATCCGCCTGAGGCATTCACAGGAAGAAACAGTAACTTGCCTTAGCAGGGATTTTTACAAAGGGGAAATGGAGGCTGGGAGGTGATGTGGCACATCAACAACTCCATCGCTTTCCTCCATGAAATAGGAATGTTTCCCGACAGCCCCAGGTAGAGCTTAATATGCCAGTCTTGGAGCCTTGACTAGATCCTGAACATACACTGATCACAGATCACCTAATACTTTTCTGGACTTGGGTTTATACACCGTCTCCAGCTGCAAAACTGTAGGCCGCCTTATTTACCTTTGTACTGCAGAGTCCCACACAATGCCTGCCAAAGGGGAGGCACTTAAAACTGTTATGAAAATGTCATGTTAGGGAATTGATGGGCAAGGTGGCTTCCTTTCAAAAGGTGTTTTCCTTGGTGCCAACCTATGATCTGACATTTTTAAAGGAACAGCTGGTTCAAATTTATTTTAGAAACTATACTTCAAAGAAGTGTGATAAAAATGGGGAATTCACATTAGGTCTCCTCTTTGAAGAGATGGCTGCAAACTAAGCTCCATCTCTGGAATCTATAACGGTAGCACAGTGATGGTGAACCTATGACACGCGTGTCAGAGGTGACACGTGAACTCATTTTTTTGGTTGATTTTTCTTTGTTAAATGGCATTTAAATATATAAAATAAATATCAAAAATATAAATCTTTGTTTTACTATGGTTGCAAATATCAAAAAATTTCTATATTTGACACGGCACCAGAGTTAAGTTAGAGTTTTTCAATATGCTGACACGCCGAGCTGAAAAGGTTCACCATCACTGCTGTAGTATGTAAAATTTTGTGTAACACACAGCCCTGCTTACAAATAAAAAAAGGAAAAAATATTTATACAGGCTCATGACAAATGTCAGTATTTTGTAGGTAGCCAAGCAAAATTATTTTCTCTTCTTTTTCCTCGTTACTAATCCTTATCCCCTTGACCACATTTATTTCTAATATTTTTTCCAATTAGGAAGGAAAATGGAAGAAAATTTTCTCCTTGTGCCTCTGGTTCTATCACAGGACCCTTTCGATGCCACCCTGAGTTAGGCAAGGTACAAAGAGGACGGTGAACTGAATTTTTCTTCTGATCATTTCCTATTTTCCTGAACCAGCTGACTTTTCAGTTTAAATACCTCCCCCTTGGCAACCATGCTACAGCTGTAGGGATATAATCTTGCACAAAAATTGAGATCAAACTTCAAGGGCTAAAATACAAGTACCTCCTATGTTTTCTTTCTATAATGAATTATTACCTGGAAGCCATTTTCAATTTTCTTTATATATATATAAAGTTTATCTGTATGACAATGAGTTTCATCCTTAACTCTAGCCCTTTTGGAATTCCCCTTCATGTGTTGTCATCCTAATATGCTAAGAAAACATCTACTTAGCTGGACAAACTATGAAGATGATGCTTCTAACCTACAAAAATCTGGTAAGTCCCAAAGGCTCCACATGGGCAGACACAGAAAGCAGTGCCTGTGTCGTGCAAAACACTAACAAAGCAAGCCAGGGTCTGGGGACTGGCGCTTCACGCCTCACCTGCTGCTTCAGTCACATCCGGGGGGCGCTCGGGTTCCCCGGCTGCACACACTGGCTGCACGAGGTCAATGACATCTTCTGGTTCCAAGTGGCTGGGGGTGCTCTCTTCCAGAGACTTTGAGGGCTGGCAGTGTACCCCACTGTCACACAGGACTTGCTCCTCAAAGTCGTCCTCCAGGGAATCAATAGTCTCTTCAAAAAACAGGATGACATCCTTTTCCTCATGTGTGAGGTACTTCAGGCTCTCATCATCCTATAGAATAGGTGTGGGGGTTGGGAATGCAAGAGAAAACAAACAGTGGTTTCAGTGAGGGACAAAACCAGGACCAAGTCTAAATCAAAACAGAGCCCAGGGTAGGATTCACAGCACTTTACTAGAAACATTTCCGTCGTGGGAAGAGTCTGACATTCAGATGAGCTCACTGACAAACCTGTGCCTCTATGTCCCTCACCCTTTTACCTACATGAAAAAGAAGGCTGCCAAAAAGGTACAGAAATAAAAGATCTTAGACCCTATGATTAGCTCTAGTCCTGTGGTTCCTAGTGAATTAATGATGAGGAAACAATTCTTCTCCATTGCCTCCTTGGGAACGCTGTTTGCACTTACTGCTTTCAGACACACTTGCTTTTCCCTAATAGCAATGTGGGTAATCTCTGGTTAAGGATGATGAACTCACATATGTATGTCTTCCTCTAAAAACCTTATGAAAACAATAATGGGATTTATTTCTTTAAGAAAGCACAAATCACAAAGACAAAAATAATAGGAAAAGATGTGACAGCAACACCATTTGGGAAGTTAGGTAGCAGGACAGGTGTAATGACTCAGAAGATGAATTTTAGTCAGCAACAGGGAAAGCCAATATTCAACCTGCTGAGTGCTTGAGGGCTTTCCTCAGCCTGGAGGGCTCCTCTGAAGCCCAGGCACTCGGGGTGCTGAGCGGTTCTGGAAGTGTGGCAAAGATGACATTGTCAAGAGCAGAATAGGTTAAAAGGCTGAAAGAGAAGCAATTATGTTACCCAGGTAGAAAACGAGATATTTTTTCTTAAAGAAGATAAAAGAGGGATTTGAAGGGGGAAACATGAAGCAGAGTTGACAATGAAGGACTGTACTGAAAATGGGGAGTAAATGAAGCCAAATTAATACTCTACACAAAAGATTAGAAGAGTCTTCTCTGGGGATTTGAATGATGCAAGGGCCAACAGACGCTAAGACCACAGGTCCTCAATGAAATAGCTCAGGTAGATTGCCCTACAGTGCAGACCAGTCAACAAAACCTAGAAGGGAATTTTTAGTCAGGTTCTTAACATTCTACTCTTAAATATTTGCAAGCAGCTGAAAAACCTCTAACATGAGAGACAATATCAAAACAAAACAAAAAAATAAAGCAAATTATAAGAAACAAACTATGCAGAATGATGAAAATTTCAAAAAGATGATCATTAATATCTTCAGAGAGATAAAAAATATAATACTATTAAATAGCAGTGGCTATTAAAAAGTAGAAAACAAAAGAGTTCTTAGAAATTAAAATTATGACAGCAGAAGTCAAAAACTAAATAAAAGCCTAGAAAATAGAGACACTGGCAAAGTACAACAAAAGAAAAAAAAATCTTTTTAAATAGAGAAGAAAAGATAACTAGAGAATAAGTGTGAGAAAGAGGGCCAACATCTGAGTAATGAAAGTTCCAGAAAAAGAAATCAGAAAAAAAAACAGAGGGGAAAGAATTATCAAAATAAATAAGTAAAATAATACAAGAAAATATTCCCAAACAGAAGGATCAAAAGGGGCCATCAGAATAACCCAAAGAACAAGAATAACATAGAATAACACTATTGTGACATTTCACTACACCGAAGACTAAGAAAAGATCCTAAAAGTTTCTCAGTGAAAAAAGAGGCCACATAATAAGAGATCAGGAATCAAAACAGCACCAGACTTCTCAGCAGCAATACTGGAAACCAGAAGACAATGTTGTCATTCCTTCAAAATTCTGAATGATCTATGGAGCTTCCGGATAAGATGGCAGTGTAGGTAAATGTGGTACTCACATCCTCCCACAACCAAATCAAAATTACAACTAAACTACAGAACCATCATTCAGAACTGCCTGAAATATAGCCAAACAAAATTCTACAACTAAGGATATGAAGAAGAAGCCACACTGAGGCTGGTAGGAGGGGCGGAATGTGGAATGGGCTGGTCACACACCCATGTGTGATGGATATAAATGGGGAAGGATATCTTGGCTGGCGAAGTTCCCGCTGAGGAGCCAGAGGTCCCAGCCCCACACCAGCCCCCTCCAGCCCACGGTTCCAGTGCCAGGTAGAGAAGTCCCCATAACTGCTGGCTGTAAAAACCAGCAGGAAGTGAGGCTGAGTGAGAGGGAGTGGTGCTAGAGTACGAGTAGTGTCTCTTTTTTTTAACATTTTTCTTTCTTTATTGATGGATTTTTAGAGTGAGAGGAGGAGAAAGAGGGAGGAAGGGAGGGAGGGAGAGAGGGAGAAACATTGATTTGTTGTTCCACTATTTATGCATTCATTGGTTGATCTTATATGTGCCCTGATGGGTGATCAAACCTACAACCTTGGGGGATGATGCTCTAACCAACTGAGCTACCCAGCCAGGGCCCTAAGAGTTCCTCTTAAAGGGCCCACACACAGACTTACTTGAACTCACTCTCTCTGAGCTTCCTCACTGGGGCAGCAGCTTGAAATGGACTTACAGGGAGGGACTGAAGTGTCTGGCATCAGGGTGAGAGCTGGAGGGGCAGCTTTCTCCCAGACAGAAGTGCTGGCAGAGGCCACTGTTCCTTTTCGGAACCCTTCCCTCACAGTCTTGGCAGGTGTTTTTAATGCATCAATGTGGAGTAAAAGGAAGCCCTTTAAAGCTACAAATCTCCAGATGCTAAAAGAATTATATAGGAAACCATATGTTACATATTCTGCTTGCCATGTTGACTTCAGGTAATGGCTACAAGTCTTTAAGGGAAAAAGTGCATACATTTCTACCGAGTATGTATGTTTTGAAGAAGTAATTTCTACTATGTTTAAACTAGAAAAATAAAAATGCTAAACCTACCAAAGGAAATGTATGCATGCTGTCCAAGGCTCGGTGAGGAAACAGAGTCCTACTCCCGCTGGTGCCTATGCAACCTGCACAGACGACGGAAAATGTCCATTTCCCACTGGCGCTTTGAGAGGAATATCCTGACAAGTTGGATAACAAAGCTTTCCAGTGAATGTTACTAATAATTAGAAAAGTCAACAAGATTGGAGTAAAGATTTGGGATAGGAGTGTTCATTTTTTTTGGAAATGGTAGAGAGAAAACCCTTGTTTGTTTAAACAAAAAAAGTTGAGAAGGCTTAAAATACTCATACTAAACTAACTCTTACCTTAAAAAACTACTAACTGTAGTTCTTAAACTTTTCCTTTTGTTTTGCTTTTCTTTTAAACGAGAAATTTGGTTTTACTGCAGACTAAGACAATTGTGGCAGCTCCTTGTGAAGGAGAAGATAAGAACCAGCAGACTCATCTCCATTCCAAAAGAATAAATAAATCATAAGAATGGCCCAGCCGGGTGTAGCTCAGCGGTAGAGGGTCGACCTAAGAACCAAGAGGTCACTGGTTTGATTTCCGGTCAGGGCATATGCCCAGGTTGCAGGCTTGATCCCCGGGGGGGGGGGGGGGGGGGGGGTTTGCAGGAGGCAGCCAATCAATAATTCTCTCTCATCATTGATGTTTCTATCTCTCTCGCCCTATCCCTTCCTCTCTGAAATCAATAAAAATATACTTTAAAAAAAACTTTTTTAAAAAAAGAATGATTATGATGGCTGAAAATAGTTCTTGAGATGAACCAAGATCTCTTAACCAGTAGCCTCCTAGGCAGGCAACCTTGGGCATTTGTTCTGGAGGAGTGTGATTTGATATTCACATTTTCTTCCTACAGACCCCAAAATGATCTCCCTGACACTTGAGCAAGGCTAAGCTGATGAGAGAATGTCCTGCAGCTGAAGCAAAATAGGGCCGAATGAAGAAAATAAAAGTCAGTCTCTTTGTAGTTCCTGACACAACTTTAAATGCTCTACTTACTCCAGCAACCTCATGAGAAAGACCCTGAGTGCATGTGGCGTTTCCCACAGTTCCAGGATAGGGTTTAATTATGGTTCTTTCTAACTAGTCATTGTTGTAATTTTTCACTATGGCTAACTTAAACCTGTACTTCTGGCCGGAAAGAGACACAAACAAACCAGCAAGGGATGAGATATGTGTACAGTTTTGATTATAGATCTAAGAATAATGGCTTTGAAGGATTACAGTTGAGCCCCATGGCTGCCTTAAACTGGCAATATTATAGAGAGATCTTGATTGAGATGGAGCTGCCATAGTGCGTGGCACCGTACCTCCACCAGAGCCCCATAAGCTTGGGTCACACTGTCCTAGAGCTTACCCTGGCTGTCTTGTGAGTTCCTGGAAAGATTAAAACTGACTTTTATTCCATCATCTATTAGTTCTTATATGTAGTAAGCACTTACTAAATACTGAACTTTAATAAAAGCTATTTAAGCTCTGTCTTAAAATGGCTGTTTTGACCAGCAAGTTTTTGGTTCAATCTGGGTAAGGAGACAGAACTGAAAGGAAGATGGGGTTACTACTGACCAGTTCTGGTTCTCCTTCCCAGGCCTGTTCTGTTTTCTCTCCTCAAGATCATCTAGCAACAAGAGTTTCAGATGCTAGTGTGCTCCTCAGACTCCAGTCCAACCTGACCATGAAGACAGCATTACCCCTGCCGGCTTTGCCTTCTTATCCCATGACTAAGGAGTGTGGTCAAAAGACATCGAAGGCTCTGCAGAAGGAAGGGATTAGTCGGGAGCTGACAACTGCTGTCTCATCACAGACTCATTATGCAACTTTTGGGCCACAACATTTGTCAGCTAAGTGAGAAGGAGGGTTACGTGACAGTTCACTGAATATTATATCTCCAAAAGCTCAGTAATGAATTTGGGTCATTGTTTTTGCCCAAGTTAGAGATAAAATGAACAGGAGGTATGCTTGAGATTTTGGGATGTTTTCATTCCATCCCAAAGAAGCACCTATATTACTTAATTTCTTAAGAACTATGGACAGTAAGAGCATTCCACTCTTCAACTAGCAAAAGCATATTCTTTTTTAGAGGAAGCTCCAGGTGCATGCAGGGAAGAGCAGACTTCATTCACGTCTACATTCAGAATATGAGCCGAAGAACACTGGA